CATTAGGGCAACCAGTGCAAACACAAATACAGTTATAATCATATCATTTACAATCAACTTCTGTACACCACTGAACAATGTTCCACAACAAATCCCCTGGTTGAACCCAATGTTTAAACATCAGGTATTTATTTATTTCCTGCATTTATAACTCGGCCTTCTCACTCCCAAAGGGGGACTCAGGTAAGCCTGATGATAAAATTTAGTTTTGGGAAAAATGCAGAAGGTAGTGCCTCAGAGGAAAACACTGTAAGGAAAAGAAAACATAGGTGGACTGTATTGTTGTTATGTGCCTTCAGGTTGATTCTGATTCATGGTGACATTATCATAGGATCTTCTTAGAAAGATTCATTCAGATGAGTTTTGAAATACAGTTAGCCTGATCAAACAAAGCAAAACAAGGTCTTGTGTTTCAATTGCATATGATTTCATGGGGAAAATGTTTCTTTAGGTACCAGCTCTGTAGACATTGTTGGTAAGCCTCAACCAAGAGTGGAGAACTGTGAAAGTCTAGAGGGCCGCAACTTCTTATAAACACATAACCTTGATGTGATAAGGGATAAGTTAGATTTAACTGCCATGGAAGAATACTGGTTACTTACAATAGTGCTTGACAGTACACTCTACTGCTCTCACTTCTATTTCAGAAACTATTATTTTTTCTACATTTATATCATTCTGAAAGACCATTCTGACTGAAACAAATTTTCATTTACAATTCATACACACCTAAAAGGGATGATCACATTGAAAAATAGCTAACTTTCATATTTGTAAGATTAAATTATACTATGTTTGAGGATCATTTACAAAACTGATAAAATAGTCAAAAGAAAAGACTGCATACCATTTTCTTCAGGTTTCAAGCTTAACAAGTCATCTAAAGTGCCTAAAAACAAAACACAAGGGAATCACTGACCTGTATTTTTTTGTTTACTTCATAATTATAATGGTGTAGGTTTTTTTCTTAGAATAGTGCTCCAGGGCACTTTTAGAAAAGGCTTTTATAAAGTAATATTGTCCTTCATTCACAGAATTTCATAAGGGTTTCACATTGCCCTCCTCCATTCGTAACCCTCATTTTTTTCAGTGACTTCCATAATTTTTTTCCCCCTGAGAAATTCCTTTGGCAAAAAATACAGAACATGTAGCTGGAAAGTGATTTCAACCTATAAATCTCTTGGTTTAAACCACCCTTACACACATTTGGAGGGAAGTAAACCCCACTAAACAAAAGTGAATTTACTTCAGAGCTGACATGTATAGAACAACACTACACTTCTAAGAAGCATACCTGAATTCTCTGTATGGCTGAAGTTATCCCCTAATGTGCTCAGAATGTCCTCAGCATCTTCTGCTGTAACCAAAATATTTCCTGTGTCAAATTCAGCAAAAATCTAACAAAGCTTTAAACATGACATATGTCTCAAAGTTCTCTAGTCTGATGAGTTTCACTATAACTTATTTTAACCCGACACAGTTTCAGGCAGGTGATTATCCAATCTGCATTCATTCTTGGGAATGAGTTTTTATTATAATAATAGTGTATCTACGCAGCACTGCCCGGATGTTGGAAGGCCTGCTGCTCTGCTGTCATCCCTTCTTTATCTTTCTCTCCTCTCATACCTTTTCCCATTTCCTTTCTCTTCCTTCCCTTCTTTTTCTTTCTTTCTCCTTCCCTCCCTTCCTCCTTTTTCCTTCCGTCCTTCCTTTTCTCCTTTCTCCCAGAGTGGACCCAAGGTAGCTCCCAGGGATGGTTGATTTAAAATATCTAACAAATGTAAACAAATGTAGTTCTTTAATAGTCTAGGAAGTTATGAGAACAAAAAAGATTGTTGTACTTCTCTTCAGCTAATTATATTCAATTCTTGGAGAATTTTTCACTATATTTAATAGTCTTGCTGTTAAATACTTGTTAGGAACAACTTTAGTCAAGCTCAATTAATCTATTATCCATACAAGAACATACTATCATTTGTGAGGAAAAGAGCACAGAAAGAAAGAAGGGATAATCAGACACCTTTGGCATTTTCACTTTAGAATAGTGTTGTGGCCCCAAAGTCATTTTATGGAAAGTGTGTGGTGGGAAATGGCACCCATGGATTGGGAGTAGCATCCACACAGTTTCTCCAAATTGCAAGCAGGAGGTGATATAGGTACTTTGAAGCAGTGCTAGCAGGTAAAACAATGAAAAGCAAACACCCATTCCAAATATTTATTTTTCAAGGTGCCTTTGTGACTGTTAAATACATTCTTTAATCTCAAATCTTTGTTCATAATTGATTTTGTGAGTTTTATATTTCTAAAACCAGGATGAAATGCCCTGACTGACAGTGTAATATACTCTAAAGTTACTTGCAAGAACAAACTGTTCAGATAGCTTCTATGAACACAGTGAAATTTGAAGCCCCTTGGTTCTGAAAGATGTAAAAGAATACCTGAGTTGTCTGATTCCTTGGTCTGGCATTCATCATCGTATAAAATCAACCTGAAATTAGAAGGGAGAATAAATAAAATTTCATGTTATATATTATACTTCATGATACATGCTATCATTTTATTGCAGAAAATAGTGTCATAGAGTTACTTCTTTCTTATTTCACTTGTATGAACCTAATCAAGATATTCTGTAATAATAGACACATGAATACATTATTTCAATGCTTTTGTAACAAAATATGAATATTTATATATTTATTTAGTCTATTTATACCTGGCCTTTCTCTACCCCGAAGGGGACTCAAGGCGGATTACATAGAGGTAATTATTTAATGCCTTAAAATACATACAATTCCAAAAAATTAAAATTAAATTACATTAAAATTAAAACATACTACACATTTAAAAACATTCCATTCCATATTAAAATCACGCCATCCATACTCATGGTCCAAGTCATTCCATAGTCATTCCATATATTCCAAATCTGTTCATTGCACTGCACTTAAGAGATGCAAATTTATATATGGCCAATGATAACACTACATTTTGTCATTTGCTGCATGTATACTTTACCCTGTAGTATAAAATAAAAGCCAAGGGTCATCATCAATAGTTCTGGTTCATGTGGTACTTCAGTGTTTCACAGAGATCACGAACAACCTGGTTTAGTCATTTTGGCTTCTAGGGCCCATTTGTTAGTTGTTTTTGACAGCTCATGGTATTTGTATAAATCTCTTCTAGCAACACAATTCAGATGAAGTGATTCTCTTCAAGTCAGCTTTCTCCATTATCCAGCTTTCTCCGCCATGAACATTAATATTATACTAGCATAATTGGAAGAACAGCCTGTGTGGATATATATAGCCCCAAAGCATAAATGGGCAACAGAGTTGTAAGGTTTGTCTCTTATTCTGTGGGACATCTCATGTGAATCTCTATGAAATACAATCCCAGTAGGAAACAAGACACAGGCAAAAAGAGGTTAAATGATGAATTCCAAATTAAATTCTTCCCATCTACACAACAGCTTTCATGACAGTGGCACACTTACTTGGTGCAATGGGATCTTCTCGATTGACAGAATGTTTAAACACTGTCATTGAGATATGTAGAGATTTAGAACTCTTTTTTCACTTTTCATCACTTAAACATTTAAAGAAATGTGTGAAATTATTCATTTTCTGTTTGGAGGAAGAAAGTAAGTTATCTCCCTGACCTTGTGTGAAGCAGCCAGCAGAACCACTGAATAAGCATGAGGTTTGGTTACATAGCAACTGATGTAATGGGTTTGGCAGGGATCACTGTGCCTGCTGTCACTTCACGATCTTATCTGTACGATGAGCCAAGCACTGAGACAGATCAACTGTGCCTTTAGATCCAAAGAGTAAGACAAACATAGTGGGGCTGTAGAAGTGCTATGAGTGGGAAAGCTACAAAGCAAAGTAGAAGAAAAAATTCAAAACAAGGACAATTCCAGAGATAGTAATTCTTTGTCAGACCTTTCTAACTTTTGCCTGAAAAGGAGGATGAAGAGAAGAAGAAGGAAGAGTTCATCCACATTAAATTCCCGAGGTACTTAATCATTCAGGCTGAAAAGGAAGCTAGCATCAGTCAACCTATTCATTGTCAAAGTGCTTTTACAAAGCCTCTACATCTAGGAAGAGGTTCCATGTAAGGACTTTCTGAGATGCCGTTTAGAATTGTTCTTGCAAAATGCAAGCAATTCTGTGAACAATTTAACATTAAGTTTTTTTCAAACCTTTAAGACTCCAATCTTAAAAAACACATATACATCTATTATCTAGGTCAGTGAGTTGTGTTGCTATCACTTTTCCAATGATAAAATATTTTTTACGAGTGCTCAAGGGAAAAAGGATACAAAATGCTAACAAACTTAATTCCAGTGGCCAGCACTGAAAGCTTCCTGCAAAAAAAATTAAAAAACTAGTTTTCACATTAACCATTCACATCTGCAAATGGAATTTTATTGATGCCTATGTCTTCATCTCTGTTTCTGGGTGTTTCTATGTAAAAGGGATTGCATGTACTTCTCCCGTGTGCCACATATCCAAAATTATCAAAGACTAAGGCACAACCTATCTGTACAGTTCTATAAACAATGGTAACTAAAATCCCACAAGGCTGAGCTCTCAGGATATATTCTTACAGTGTACTAGTTACTGTGCTGGATCATTTCCCATGTTCTGTAAAAATTACAAGAGCGAATCAGTGCTCAAATGAGCAGTAGATCAGTTGTAGTTCTTGTGCGCATGAGAAATGCCAAGGCAGGAAGACAACGTATGGAGTAAAATCTATTTATTTCTCCCACATAATACACATAAGATGCTTACTTCGTTGCTATCAAAAATCCCTGTGAATAAAATCAAGAGCAGGCAAATATTGACAACATTTGCTCCCATTTCCCCATACAGTATATGGGAGACTTAGAATGTAAGACAGTTTCCTATGAAATATAATTCTTTTCCTATCCAAAGAGGCATTGGTGGAGAAACACATGTGACACAGCTGTGAAAAGTAAAACTTAACTTGTATTTTCATACTAGCAATATATTTTTCATGTGTTCTTCTAAAAAGAGGACACATATTAAGAGGAAAAAGAAGACAAGTATGCTCATCTGGAGAGTCATTAGATCACTAAAGGGAATGGTGTACAAAGAGAGAGATTTCCTCATCCTGTCTAAATATACAAACACTATGCTCAGGGAAGTTGTCACCTCTTCTGCCTGTTGTTTCTGTATGGGATGTCATCATATTTGAGGATATCCATAGTATTTACAGATATGGCCCACGTATAGGGGTCTGCCCAGAGATCTCCTGCACAGAATTTCAAATAAGCTAAAGAACTACTGGGTGAAAGGATAGAAGCTCATGAGAGCAAAGCAGCAAGAAGTCACTGATTGATGTCTACCGCTCAAGGAATTACCTAGCCTGCAGTTAGAAACAAGTATTTCTTCCAAAATGTACAGCTGGAATGAGCCCCAAAGGCTACAATCGGCCAAAAAATCATTTGAATGGATGCATATCCTATAACTTACTGACTCTGCCGATCATCTTCTGATTTGGTGTTCTCTAGTTGCGGTTCTCCTTCCCTTTCTTCACTTTCCATTAGTTTACATGCAGGTTCTTGTAGGCTCTAGGTCAATGTATATATGAAAAAGAACATCCAAAATTAATAATGAATGCTGAAAAATCTTTTAATGTTGTGATTTAGTAAAGTCACACAAAGCCAAAGCCATGGAAACATCTTCAATTTAAACAAGAAAGAAAAAAGCACAAGTGGTCAGCAGGCAAATTTCCCTGAAGAATAACTAACTATAATGGAAATAGAGTAACAACTGAACAGAGAACCATATAAACTTATTTTTGCTCCACAAAGTCTATGAGAATCGGTAAAGCAAGAGCTAAATATGGACCAAGTGATGACCTTGTAACTGCATCACACTAGTATTTATTTACCCACACTGGTTCATAGTTCATTTTCAGAACCAATTCAAAGGGCAGTTTTTAACTTAAAGGCTTGGCTAGAATCATTGAAAGATAGTCTGCCTCTTATGGTACCCTACTTGAAAAACAGATCTTCAGAGACCTGCTTTTGGTGCTCCTCCCAAGTAAAGTGAACTGAGCAGCTGCCAAGGAGTGGACCTTTGTATTGACAACATTCTGGTTATGGAGTGCTCTTCAGAGAGGCTCCCCTGCTGACTTTTAAAAAAGAGATTATTTCAGTGTTACATGGAAATCTCCATAGACCTTTTAAATACAACTTTAAAAATGTTTAGTGTTCAGTGCCACTGTATGTGCTATGTCATACTATTCGCCCTAGAATTGTTGATGCCCCGAATTTGTTTAAGTGTTTTTTTTTTAAAATCACACATTGTCTTTTTATATGGTATTCCCCGTCTCCCAAGAACAAACTGTTCTGCAGCTTTCTACAAATACAGTAAAAAAACCAAAACAAAACAAATGTGTGATAGAGCAACAATATACAAAAGACTCCAAAACATTTGGGAGCTGAGTCTCTGCATTAATTGTGCTGGTGAATATTTCATGTATCTTATGAAGTGGATCCTTCTGTGATGATATATGCCATAACTGATGTCTTAGTTTTTAAGATGCCACAAGACTCTTGACTGCAACAGGTGAACACAGCTATCTGTCAGGGAAGCCACATGAAACATCTCTATGCAATCTTTAGCATTTATAAAACCAGGTACAATAAACTGTTGATCAGAGGATGAGACTTTTAAATCCATTATTACTATGCATATTTAATTTCTGCACATTCATTCCTTCTTGAAAGATGCAATCACACTGCCAAAAGACCCACATTGTGCTTTCAATCTAAACTGAAGTTCAGTGTTTCATTTTCAACCTGCTGAAAATAAAGGATTCTTTTGTCTTTGTTTTTGACAGAATGCTGTTTTATATTTAGTTCTATTTGCTGTTTTTGCTGTTCTATTTTTGTATTTTCAGACAGGAAAAATGAGTAACAGTTTTTCAAGTTCGATTTCTGTCAATGGTACTTTTAAAAAGTTTGTTTTACTGTTGTTAGATAGAAATACTGATGTTTTCTGCAAAATCAGTAAAAAGCTACTGTTTCCTTTTAAAATGATATATCAATCTTATAAAATATTAGGTTACAAAATAAAGAAAGTGAGACACAAATATTTTTCTTCATGCATTCCCACATTATCTACTACAAAGTTTCAATTCCAGAAAGTATGTCAAGTGAGAATATTTCCTCTTATCAAGCTCATTTTAGGGCTGCTCACAGCTAAGTAGACTGATTCATTAATGGAGGTATTGCCGAAGCCCTGCCAATACAATTTTGATCTTTCTTTGGATGAAAACAAGTAACTTATGTTACTTTCAGTATTTTTAGACACTTCTAGTTTACTTGGATCAGAAATTTATGAAGGGCATTTGTCTGTTCTTACCCTCCAATAATTAGCTTATAAATGGCAAACTGACAAAGGCACAGTTATTATTAAAGAATACTGTTTCCTAGTCAAACTTGGAAAAAAAGAGGAATTTATATTGGAGAGCATATATGATCAAACACAACACCTTTCAGAAGGTTAAAAACTCTTTTTTTGCTTTTAAGATGTATTTGCAGACAAATGAGTAAAACTGTACTGGACTCGTGATTTTAAAGAATTATTTTGTCTGGGATAGCTACTTCTTAACTGAAATTGCTAGCGTTTTTGAAAATAAGTATGCATTTAAATTTTTATATGGCTTGTTTATAAAGGGATCTACATCAGAGGGTGGCAACTGCCAGGAGAGTAAGATGCTGACCTGCTCTTTGGCGAGACCTTGGAAGGCTGCACTCCATTCCCCTTTAAGGTTGTTGAAGAGCTTTTTTTTTGGGGGGGGGGGAGTTTTTTAGGGGGAAAAAACCAACCTAGACAAGCTCTGAGGGCCACAGAAATAGAGCTGCAGGGAACATGTAGCAGGAAATTGGCACTTTGTTCACCCTTGATAAACATGAACAGGAACTGGAGTGGTTGCCCAGGCAGTCAAAGTAATGTTCCTCAAATCAAATTAAAGTTGCCCTTAATTATCTCCAAGCTCCAAAACGATATTTAACACACACACATACAAGTATCTGGGGTGGTAGGGTGGTGGCTGAGTCTGGCCATTTGCACATTCCCTCACATCCTTACTGACACACTCACTCAGGTGAGGACAAGGGAATGGTGACAGGAGGAACGAGGCCTGGTGGTACGTATGTCACCAAGGCAGACAGAGAGAGTACTGCCAATGTAATAGGAACTGTCACAATGCCTTCCTGTGCTCTTGCCCTCTTCTCAAAGCTACTGTCACGACTACTTCATCTACCCACCCCTGGGGTCCATCCTGGAGACCCACACCTATGCATTTGAAAATGATATAGGCAGGAAACAGATTTATTCATTCATTCTTGGGTAAAGGTCTGATCAATTTGCATGTGTATATGATATTAAAAATGGCTTCTTCCTATTAATGATATAATTATGTAACCAAATCATGTCATAACAACACTGTAGGCAAATGAAGTTAATTCAGATCACTACATTGCTGCTCAGAACTGTGAATAGCAAATACCTAAAAGCAGTTTTAAGAAACTAGATAGGCATTTAGTGGTTTACTTGTAAATAATTAATTTTTGTCTTACAGAATTTATACTGACTGTATCCAATAAAACTGTTTTCAAACTAGTAATAGACTTCAGTCTATTTATTTATTTACAGTATTTTTATTCTGCTCTTTTCACCCCGAAGGGGTCTCAGGGCAGATTACAATGCACATATACACGGTAAACATTCAATGCCCTTTTTGACATTCAAGACCATACAGACAGAGGCCATTCAGCAGTTCTTCCACCCTTACCTTTGATTATGTATACTGATCCAACAAGAACCACTACTTAATCTAGTACGTGTTGCCAGGAACCTACTGCCTAGCCTGTCGAAACACACAGCTTTTGTCCTCAATGCAATAATCCTCCAGACCTTCCCATCTTGAGACTCAAAGACTTGAAAGCCCTGAATATGGTCTTATCCGATCACTACCTAAAATGTCCAACCTTCTTCCATCCATTTTCAGTACATTTGCCAGCTTTCTCAAGCTGCTAACTTTAAGTTTCAAGGAATTGTTATGTTTCTCAGATATTCAGGAGAAATGAAGTTGCGGGAGGAGGAACACTGATAGCTGTTTGTGTTTAAAACCTGGGTACTGATTATCATGAATTCCCAGATCTCACTGGCTTGGCGCAAATATATCTATACAGTATATCTACTGTGTATGTACTAACATCAGTGCACAAAAGGTTAAGGGACTGGGGAGAGAACTGGTGGATGAATGCATGTGGCCCATCATACCATTAGCTACAGGGAGGGACTGTGACGGGACCCATGAAGGGTGGAAATACTTGATGGTAAACATTCCTTACCTTCAATGTTCTGAATTCATATGGCTGATAGCCTCTGAAACTTTCATGGATAGCTGCCATGGTATGAGATGTTCTTTTCCAAAAATTAAGAAGCATTGTCTGAAACAGAAAGAAACATCTTAGCACAACACTCATGTGCTAATGAGAAATCGAATATTTCAGGAATATTTCACCAGATTTATGCAGTAAGGAAAACCACTTATCACATTTCTGTATTAAGTTGTCTGGATTTCAATGCTAAACATAGATTAGTGGGTTTATGGATTATTTAATTTTTGGATACCTGGTATGTTGCCAGCACATGAGACAGGAGATTACATCTGCTTGCTCCAAGGAGATCCACTTTTTGACAGACATCAGTTTTCAGTTTGTCAAAGTTCAGTTTTGTGTGACGGACTTGTGCTTGGACCTATCAATATATAGAATATGTGAAAGATGAAGAATTCCTTCCCGACATGGAAAGAACTCTATAAAATGACTTCTCTAGCACACGTTTCTAGTTTCCAAAGTTATTATTTTTACAATGTTAACATAATTCAGCCATGTCAATATTTGTTTGTATTAATTGAAGGGACATTGTTGTTTATTTGTTCAGTCACTTCTGACTCTTTGTGACCTCATGGACCAGCCCACACCAGAGCTCCCTGTCAGCTGTGGCCACTCCCGGTTATTTCAAAGTCAAGCCAGTCACTTCAAGGATACCATCCATCCATCTTGCCCCTGGCCTGCTCCTCTTCCTTTTTCCATAGGACATGCTACCCTTCAATTAATAAATTCTCAGAGACATTTGCTGATACTGGAGACAAATATTATTCACCAAAGCTAAGCAAATTTCATATCACCAAATGAAATCTCTCTCGTGCAAAAACAACAACCACCACTTCAAACCTGATACTAGCATTGTGATGGGGAACGTCTGCAACGTGATTGGTGTGTTGTTATGGTCTGTTTCACTTATCAAATAGAAAAGATTTCATCCATCCACAATTAACACATGGAACACTATTTCTTCCTACCAGTAGAACAGAGGCATTACAGTATTCATCCCATACTGATGATGGTAAGAGATGTTCGGAAATGGAATAAGCTGCCTTTGAGTGTGATAAAGTCCTCTTGTTTGGAGGATTTTAAGCAGAGGCTGAATGGCTATTTGTTTGGGATGCTTTGACCATGTGTTCCTGCATGGCAGAATAGGGTTGGACAGGATGGCCCTAGTATTCTCTTCCAACTGTATGATTCTATGATGTGGCAAGAGCAAGAAAGCCAATTTCTTTCTTTCCCAGGTCAATTGTACCATTTCTAGGTCAAGAACAGAATTTGTATAAAAAATATGTAATAAAATCCTTTTCTTCCAGTAAAATAATCAAAGCTATATTTTTCAGTAGTCAAGCACTCAGACCATGTTCACATCTATAACCTTGAACCTCATCTATATAATTTTCTACACAAAAGTGCACTTAATTTTTCATGAGCCTAACAGTGCCAATTGAATGAGAGATTAAGTTCATTAAGGTAGGCTTATCTGCCTGAAATCTATTTATTAATCAATGTTCTTTTCTTCTCCCTTTGGAAAAAATTATGGGCACAGCATTGAGTGACTTAAGAACAATAGCTGCTAATGTCATTTAAGTGTCGTTCTGATTTGCATACTGTTTTCTAAGTTCATATTCCAAGACTTATTTGCATAAGGGACAATCCACACTTTAAACATTTTCTGTTTGAGTGGAACCTGCTCAAAATGTTTCATTGCCTGAAGCGAAGGACAAGATGATTTCCTCCATTCATACATCATTTCCATTGGTAGATGGGAACTGCACTGGCAGCTGAAGTTTACAGCAACCCTTTTGATGGGTCAGTATCCATCACTACCTTTAAAGGAATTAGGCTATTTTAAAGGACACAGGGCAATCTATGTGACACACATAGCTCTATCCTGCAAACGGAAAGAATGGCTAGAACAATTATAGCAACTCCTCAATATCCAGGGGACCCAACACCAAGTTCCTGTTTTAAAATGTGCCAATTTCAATACATTATGAATAAAATGCATGCTGACACTTAAGCTAAGTTATGCAATATTTATCCATATATTTACTGATACACCAATTCAAGGAATTATCAATGTGAGATGGATGTAGATTCTTCTTCTTTTTTTTAAAGGATACTTGTTACAAGCATTAATTAATTAATTAATTGTTTACATCACATTCTCTGTCCATGGATCTCTGGGCAACATACAATAAAATCAATCTAATAAATGTAAAAAAAAAGGATACACAATTAAAATAATTTTAAAATGGTAGGAAACATATTATGTAATTCATGAATTAAAAGCTTTGAAAAGTTAAAATAATTTTAAATGAATTAAAGACAAATTCTTGGGAGGGTTACTGTAAAACTGGCCGGTCCCCAAAAGCTTTAACAGCAAAATAAAGCATCTCTGTGTAAACTCAGCATTGAATATCAACGCTATGCTATAAATCTACACAGATCAATATTTCAACCCCAGAATTTTATTTTTAAATGCCCTATGCAACAGGAAAAAAATCCATATACTACACATTCCAGAGTTCATTGCTAAAACCACTTATACATAGTACCTTTATGTGCTTTAAGCAGGTGGTGTGTGCTTCAGATATCGGTATTTGTCTTTGAAAAAACATATGATTAAAGTAACATCCTATAATACAGAATCCTATCTCACTATATGGTTCAACATCTATCTTAGAGCTTTTTATCTATTTAGTTTACTATTGTTACAAATATAATTTTAAAAAAGTAAATGTCCAATCTAACAGTCCATTGTCTCTTTTAAGGAACAGATAATTTCTAAATGATTATAAACATTTGATCTATTTGACCTAATATGCAAGTTGAGATCATATCCCTCTTGTACCGGTTATTAGGAGACGTAGAATACTGCTGTGTTACCAAATGCTACGCATTTTTTTTTGCCAAGTCAGGAAAAGGTTTCAGTATCAAGTATTAAAATGGCTGGATCCTATTTCACACCAGAGATTTTCTTATACAGTAAAAGGTGCTTTACATCCAGCACAGTACTGAAGAACACTAGGCATTTTATTTGGAAAAGAACATCAACATGGGTCTGGTCCTATTTTTAGAAATCTTTGCACCTTCAGATAAAATGATAATAATAATACATTAAACTCCATGTTTTGAATCACAGCTCTTTTGACCCAGTGCAAATAATTTTAGCCAGTTTTACATATAGCATGCCTCTGAACATTCTTGCACATTTTCCTTCTTTTTCCTCTTTCTGTTCCATTCAAAATTTGAAGTAACTATAATGCTAGGTGACCTGTGGACTAGTGTGACTGCTAACCATATTTAAAGCTCAAATGTCCAATTATTTGATTCAGTATATTAATTTCAGCATAGTGCTAAATGGAGAAGCTCAAATTCAGGAGATGACTAAAACAGAGCTAATAATAAAGGAAACTCACAGGAACAGCCCATTCCTCTTAGAACTCTCATCAGAAATCCATAATTTGCCTTAAGAGAATGGTCCAAATGAAGGAAGGAAATTAAAAAACCTTTATGGATGTCTTTGGTGATTGGAAATGGCCGCAACTCCTAATGTGCTTAACAGAGGCAAGATTCAGACGAGCAACTGTGGAAAGCTGGAGGGTGGGGACATTAGAATTATGTCTTGGAGGCCAGCACCCCATCACCATACCCTGCTCCTTCAAAAATAAAACAAAAGCAAAATAGAAAAACCACCCAAAATACCCTCTGGGGGCATGACAGTATTCTTATCATGTTTGGGGGCCTTCTTGAAAAAATGAGTGTGCATTTTTGGTATTTTCAAAGTGTATTTTTTCCTGGAAATGTCATGCAAAACTTTTGTTTTGGCCCTGAGGTGCCCAGGGGGCTCCAAACAAAGTGGAAATACCCTTCACAACCAGTAGAGGATATTTTTGATCCCTGGGAATCCCTGGAGCATACATCCCACAAGCTGTACTCCCACCTCTATTTTAGACAGTAAATATATGAGTTCTCTTCCTTCTTTTCTTGTTAACACAAATTATGGCCTTACACCCCCCTCCACCATTTCTGAGTCCAACGTCTCTTTCTTGGTGCAAGATGCTATGGAAAATAATGTCAGTTGTGTATGGGAAATACATTTCAGTGAATTGCTTGTAAATGCCAATTTGGTACTGCCAAATTTTACTGGAAATGTTATGACTACATTATTACAAAAATGCTACACTACAAGGATTTACAGTACAATCCTATTTATGTTTATACAAAGTTAAGTCTGAGTTCAAAAGGGCTTATTCCCAGGAAGACTGCAAAGGATGCAGCTTTAGTGAACTAGTTAAATGTTTTCTTCCAGTGCAGAGAACCGTTTTACTGGCTCAGAGGATCTAAGATTGGTCTTGATCATCAGGAGAAATAACTGAGGAATTACATTTTGTCTCTAAAATCTGAAGGAAACAAAAGACTCAGGTCAGGACGCTTCATTTTCTACTGATAAAATCTGAGTATTGTTAATTCCTAGTACTGAAGGTTTGCAAAGATTCTGAACATGTTTGTATTCAAGCACCAAATCAGAGGAACCCACCAAATCAGAGGAGCCAGAGAATAGCTCTCATTTACATTTTTAATCTGACTCTCCATTACAAATTCCAGTAGATGGAAGAGCCTTTAAAAGATACGTGTTTATGAAAATTAAAATACCTTGGTCAATCAATTACTCTGGCTGTTAAAACCTGATGAAAAGAAAGCCTTATAACTTCTATAACATATTTATGCATTTTATCATAAGGAGAGATCAAAATGAGAATAAAAAATATTAACAGAAATAAAAAGTATTTTCTACTTTTTCTATAATGTGTACAATTAGTGTGTTGACTATAGACCTACATAAAAATAAATTACAGCTGGATCAGAATAGAGAAACAGGAGTCAAGGAAAATGAATGGAAGAGTAAACAGGAAAGGAACCCAGCTGTTGAGTGGATCTTTTATTTTGTATACGGCAATGTCCAGTGATTGCCACCCTCACTTTTTAGACCTTATCAAAGTGCTGGAACCAGGCATGTAGCTTGGGGGGGGGGTTTGAGGGGCTTCAGCCCCCCCTCCCCCGAAATTCTCATGGTAGTTCGCGAAAAGGCCTTACTGGTACATTATTTAAATTGTTATGTTTATTCATATCATGATCTGATCACCATACTCAATATATCCCATATGCATGGGGGTATTGGGGTAATGATACAAAAGGTTTGCTAGGGTAGACCCTCTTTCACTCAAACTCAGCCCCCCCCCCGAAACCCCCCTGAAAAAACTCACCCACCCACCCCCGAATCGAAATCCTGGCTACGGGCCTGGCTGGAACTATACTTAACATGGTCCATCTGCTTCGCTTTTGTGACAAAAACAACGACAA